TGATTTACGCACTTTTCACTAGAACTAAATTTTCGTGAGCCCATTGGCGAACGACGTTTTATTTTTTTAACAATTAGTGACGCAATATTATTACCATACGACTGAATGTTTGTGCAAACTATTTTCTTCGTCGTTACTTGAAATGGGCCGCGGCACTCTCTTTCCTGCTGTGTCGACAGACTGGTGTAGGCCACGGCAGGGCAGCACGGTGCCTACGCGCGCTTCTTCGAACAACTTTCTCCGAATTTTTCACCCATCCGACGGGCGCCCGTTTTTGTATTTTTTTTTACTGCGCGCACCCCTTGCAACCTTGCCGTCAGGCGAGTTTTTTCGGACAATGGACTTGAACTTCCTCCCGCGGGCCCAGTAAGCTGCACGTGCAAGACCTTTGAGACAGGCATTCCGTGGAGCTGAAATCACTGCTTCGTGTACGCTGGCTACGAAGATGCCTTTCAGCCAAATTTTCATCTTGTTTCGCAAGCATTTAAATGATAATAATATTCAATCAACCAATAATCAATCAATCATTTTTAACGTATCCAAGAACAACTATAGGGTATTTCGTGCTAGCGCGCGCGAAAAGAAAACAAAAACAAACAATACGTTACAGACTGTCCACAGAAAAGCAAATCAATAAATAGAGTAAAAACGAGCAGTCGAAAAGAAATCAACGCACAATGGGAACAACAAATAAAGAGTTGATATTCATGAATTGGGACTGAAAAATGATGTGGAATATACATGACCGTGCCGAAGGCTTTCTGAAAGACGGAAAAGGGAAGAATCTGTGCATGTGCAAACTACAGTTAGGACAGGGCAGCCCTCACTGACACAAAAAAAAATGACTGTAGACTATGAAAAACATAACGAATCAAGACAGTTGACGCTAGAGAAACTTGGTATTCTGTAAAGGATAGAGTGTTGAAAGAAGCTGGCAGGTGCATGCAACGGTCGATTCTCTCTTAATAACTTACGCGGAGTTTGAAAAATATTACAACCAAGAAGGGCAGAATATCTCACCCTGAACAAGCTTGAAAAAAAATAACAGCTCATCGCGATTTTGCCGGCCGTTAACTGATGGTGAATATAATATTCTAGCAGTGTTGAAAGGATTCTAGTGAAACGATGGGGGTAAATGCTTATGAAATTTTTCTGGACTCACTCAGTGGCATACTGCTGGATTTAGCAAGGCCATTTCAAATTAGATATGCATATGTACTCAAGTTGACCACGACATATCGCGGTGTACAATTTGTAGAATGCTGTAGAAGAACCAGATTCTCGAGGGATGTGAAGACAACAGGGAGGGAACGAGGGCCTCGCATGGCAGCACATTTAATGCAAGTAGAAAAAACTCGGCATGCTATCAAAAAGAACACTAAGATAACTAATCTCATAAAACTTACATAACGACACAGTATTGACAGCATATGCAATTGAAACGTTGGACGCTTTGCGAGATACAACAACAACAATAATAACAATAACAACAACAACAATAATAATAGTAATAATAATAATAATAAAATAAAAATACACTCATATCATTCTGACATGGGCGAAAATATCTGGCCACATTGAATGAAATGGTAGTGTCCGGGTGCCCATGAATCTCTATACGCGCGTGTGCAATTGCGCAGTTTGGTGGGTATGAACCGGCATACATATCTTATAGGTATATGCACTGCCGTGTTGGTGTTGAAAGGATATGTTCGCAAAGTTTTAATCGTTAAGCGCCCGCACAGCAAGGGGCTGTTTACATAATGTAGAGTTTGGCTTAGGCATCACGCGAGCCCGCAAAAAAGTGTCATACTAATGGTATTCACAAAGCAATGTTTAGGCTAATCCTGATGATGGCACATGCGCATTAGTGACCTCGACTAAGTAATGACACACCCACACAAATAGGAGCTTTGTGAATTCGGCAGCCTACGTTAAATGTTGCTATAAAGCTTCAGCATTTCATTACATGGTCCAATAAATGTGTATCACGTTTGAGTCAGTTGCACCTTTCTTAACGTACATGTATGTCTATGACGTGAGATTTATTTGACGCTTGCAAACATTACACTAAACTAATTGTTCACTAGTGCAATCATAAAATTTTCGATAAATTTACTATGTGCACAGCCAGGAACATTATACGTAGCCAAAGGAAACGCAAGATGTATTTTTGCAATAAATTAGTACAACTTCCATCTTGAATGTAATCATAATGGTGCCTGCAAGTTGCATTCACGTAAGTTCTTTTTTGTTTTTGAAAATACTCCCGTAAACATTGCATTGCGCATGCAAATGTAGTAAATGGCTGCTGAAAGCAATCGCAGATGAGGGGTCAACAGGAATAACTGAAATCTTGTTATATGAAGGGAGCATATAGCCATCAAAAGCTTCAAATAATCAGAAATTTTGTCCACTGATGTGGAAGCTAAACGTGAATTGAAATTACTATTTCTTGCTGCCACTTTAAACAATGCATTAATGTGAACAATATAGGTTGCATGCATTTTTTATTGCATAAAACTATATAGTATTGCTCTATAATAATAACTAGGTTCGGAAGCTTCAATACGTTTTGTGACTTGACACGATTCCTTCCTCGTAAAACATGTCTGCTCTCATATGCAATATTTACGTCGTACTATTTACAACTTATTGTTTGAAACCTAAATGCCATGAAAAATGTACGAGTTAAATTACACGAATGCATGCATATATGCATTCAACTGAGTTGCAACTATCACGTACACAAAGCTGACCTGAAATTTGCGCTTTTTTGCATGGCAGAAACAACATATATAATTATTACTCCTATTGTTGTAAAAAATAAGCAGGTCAGCTTTGTGTACAAATTGTTATATATTACAATCCGAATAAAAGTGTGATCACGGTGCTAAATATATACGTGGTTCATCCCAAATAAGGGAGCACTTCCACATATAAGGATCCACTTGATATGTTATATATTGTGTGGCCGTGCCTTACTTGGCCGGATTTGACTCCTTATATGGGCCAACCGCGTCCTATATGGCTGTATATAACCCCATACATGAACCAACTCCGCCCGATATACATCCATATATGGTAAATAGAAGTCACAAATGCTGACATATATGCTTATATGTGGCCACATATAACCTATATATGGGCCATGTATGGCGTTTGCGTAAGGGGTAACCCCAAATTTGGTATATGTGACGCTAGCGAAACCGCTACGAGCACGCTATGAGCAAAGCATGTAGTCATGTTTTATATGGCGCGCTTCTCATGATTATCATGTTTGGACACGTGATTTACCTTCGTCGTCCATTCACGTCACGTAATACCAAACTTGGTATATGTGAAACTAGTGAGATGGCCGCGAGCGCATCATGAGCGTGGATGTCATGGTTGTCATATTTGCCCCAGTCATAACAGCCCCGAGAATGAGCACTGGCGTCGCTACTTTCGCAGCGATGTTACGTCATGGAAAGACTCACCTGCTTCGCCGGCGCTTGTGGCCTTTTTCAGCGCCCGCCATGAACACGCTCTTTAGCGATACGGTGGTGATTGTTCCTCAATTTCGTCACGCCAATTTCTGAACATACAAGGTGCGAGGTTTCAAAACTAGTGAGAGTTTTTAAAACTGCAAGATGCTTCCGTAATTTAGCTTAGGATAGGCAAACTCCCATCCAAGCGCAATAATTATTGGGAACATGGTGATACAGGAGGAGGCGTTCGTTGTTTTTAACGCGTACACCACAGAATGGGTGCTAAGAAAATATGCTAAGTGGTACTAACTTTATTAAAACTAGGCATATACTCCGGTATTAGAACATGTCTGTGTCGAAGTATGAGAAATGATATAGGGACGTTTTCAATTCACTAAATAGAATCGTGCTTTGCCGTTAAAGTTACGCCTGCATCTGTGAACGATCTAAATTATTTGACAGAACTGCGCCTTCTCTAGTAGGAGACATTACGCGAATATGACTGCCATGAGAACTCACGTAACATAATCGTCAAACAAACAAAATAATACAGACACACGCACAATGACTTCGAAAATAATGAGATATTTCCGTTTACTGGGAGTCATAAGTACTAGTTTATTATCAATATACACCAGGAATTATGTAATCATATACCATGATTTGCGTGAAATCTTGGAATGTTCTCGCCGCGTCAAAACGCTTCACGCGAGAGCACCGCTGACAGCAACGATTTCAACACAAACGTTAGATAGTCGAATTGAGCTCTCGGTATGGCGCACTCATGGACATGATCCAAGCAGTGGCGTAACCAAGGATGGCTCACCGGGCCTGTGCCGTAACCCCAGCAGCGTCACCGTTGCCTTTGCCATCGCCGTCTTCGTCAGGGGCATCTACGTTTGAAATGAAGCGTAACCATTAGGTATGAAAATAAAATAAAAATATGCACGACTGAATGGGATCTAAACCAAGGCAATCTGTTTGACAGAAGAGTGTTCTACCGGAGTCACGCTAGTGATTTCAACATATTTGCCAAATAACCTCACACATGTAATGTCGGGTATGAATCCCGTCAAGCTGTCTAATATAGCATGGCCGAAGAATAGAATAACAACCAGTAATAACGCTAAGCTAATTGCAAACCAAGTGTGTGAACTAGTGTTTCCCAGTCCTAGGAACGTTCTCACTGATATTTTCGCATCGTTACCTGCGAGGTGCACGACCAACAAAGTTCGCGTAATACCTTACAGATGTGTAGCGGCTACCTCACCAGCATAATAGCGAATAATGACTAATAATGCCGTTGTGGGTCCTGTACCAACTCTTAAAAACTGATATATATAAAGCGTAGCCATCACTTAGTGGAAAAGTAACACTCGAAGCACAGTAGGTCTTGTGTGAGGATTCGCTCACAATTCGCTTCAACCTGTATCATAATGATCGGTGAGTTTTTGTTAGAGTATATTTTGGTGCAGCTGTATAATTTGAGATTTTTTCGCATGAATGTTTTATGTTGTCTTTCAAACACAGAACTCACATAACACAACGACCATGATGAGGATGGCATTTGTGGTATTATTTGCGGTCTTCTTCATTTTTGGGTAAGCAAGATAAGTGTTATATTTGCAAATAAAAAGCTACATCACAACATTGCATTGCACTTAAGGGCAAGTTTGTTTTCTGCACGTGTATGTAGGCATTAACTATTTGCATATGGCTGAAAATACAGTGGTACACATGAAAAATTTTACTGACCTATCAGTCATCCCAGTCAATCGCTTTGTTCTAGGATGACTCCAGGGGAGATCTACATTGTCGAAACATTGATAGTGTTGATTTGATTTAATAGTTTATGTTTGTCCACATACCACCCAGCAGCCCGAAAGGAATTTTTGTTATTTTATAAGACAATAATTTGGGGGAAATATCGCACTCATTTTGTGTGAAGGAACCAATTTTCTCTCTTGTCGTTCTTGAAAGTTCCCCACGATATAAAAACACAAACGTTTAGGTTGCGAAGACAGTCTTGTTTCAAGAAAATATCTAGGTAATGCAGAGTGAATCAGCATTGTTTGAACTCTGTGCAAAGAAGGAGAGCGTTTCTTTAAAAAAAAGTTTCAATAAGTGACATATTATTTATTGTTACGCTATATGAGCATTTTTTTCTCCAAAGATATAACAGCTAGTTTTTCGTAACTTGGAGATCCATGACAACTAAATGTATTCTGTAACGTACGCTAGCATGGTTGCTGTACCTCAAATGCATATGTTATAAGGGCCTCGAACTTTGCATTTGGGGGATAGTTCAGCCTATTGGAAAATGAATGTTTGAAAAAAAAACTATTTTTTATTTTTGCCACAATCCCAAAACCAGATCCTCGCAGACCATAGCAAGAAATATAATTAGACTTGTAAGAATATTTTTTTTCAAAGATACTATTGCGGCACAAATCCCAGCTTTTTCTTGATGCATTGAGGGGATAAGGACATTAGCAATTGCAAAGAAACAAGAGGGGCGTAAGCGACTGCGTCGTTTGAAAGTGACCATATTTACTGAGGGAGAACACTTCTGGTATATAGTAATTACCGTTTTACGCATGATGTTTTCAAATATTTAAACTCACCCTTTAAGAACAAAGCTTGTGATCTCCAACTTATTCGCGCCTTTGTTATTGACGCTCTAGATTGAGGCTGCTGTCACAGTGATCGCTTTTAATCATTTTGATTGATTACACTTAAATGGGATTAGGCTCAAAAAAGAGGCAACTGATGTACCTAAATGCCGTTTTAAAAACTGCTGGCAGTGCTGGAAACGTTAGAGCTCTCGCACCCAATCAGGGATGTGCTAGCAAGAGGTCCCTGGAGTATTTAAGCAATGCAGGAATAATTTGCACAATAAAAACATATAAAGGAATAGTATGGTTTGTATTTATGTTTAAAAGCATTAGAAGTGTTTTAATCATTCCTAAAATTAACAGAAAAATTGCAGCATCTCCCACTTAAATAGACCATCTGTAGATGCGAAGCAGTGGGCGCCAACGCTTACACTGATGGCGGCGTTGACGCTGGTGGTCCGCGCCGCGTGGCCCAGGAAAGAAAACAGGGGAGGCGCAAATCACGCAGCGATGGACCAGTGTTTTCTTCTAGAACATGCCAAACACTGCTAATGGGCAGTGAGAGAAAGAAGACCGCGTTTGGACACAGAGACACACAGTCCGCTTTTAGTTACAGCGCACGCTGTGAATTTTTTATTGTTCAACAGCGCAAAGAAGTAATCTCCTACCAGCACTGCCTTGGAGGTGAAGAATCAGAACCTATATACACGCGGTAACCCCTGACCGTTTTTACAGCGCGGGCAGTCAGTTTTTGTCTCAGAAGGAAATGTTATGTTGAGTGTCATTGACGTTTGTGGCGAAAGTGTTTTTCTAAACAGAAAACTAGCTAGCAGATGTTTCCTGCGCCGGTGTCATAAGTTCATAAGATGCTTCGAATCTTAATGTCTCTGAGCCGACTCTTCACCACGTTTTTGATAAATGACGCCAACCGAGTTGGTAGTGTGTCTGCAACACGTCTCTAAAAGTTGCCGGTGAGCCATCCATCGCGTGGGCTTGATTTTCCTAAAGCTGGCGAAGCAGATAGCTACAAACGTTCCATGTTTCTAACAGCACCATGTTCTCAGTATTTTGAGATAACGGCTTGTTCGATTTGGCATGCAAGCTAGGGGTCCTTGACTCGGTTGAGCGCTGCTTTAGAGCCTATTCTGGTCTCAAAGAACTGTTGCGTGTCTTCCGTTACACTTAGAGCACATGAGATTGCGACGGCATTCTTTAGCGATATGTCCTTTGTTTGTACACTTTCTAAGCGAGTCTTTTTCTGGTCGATAATAATGTCGGAAGGACATGCCTCTGTCACGTGCGCCGAAGAGAGGCCAAAAAGAAAATACCTTTCTGATTCATTGCGTGGCCACCCAGAGCAGATGCCTTTGGTGAAGCATTGTGAAACTTGCCTTGTTGGTGATCTCGAAACACCATGACCGCGGGCGTCCACCAAAGAAATTCCCTCACGATCTTCCACCTCCATACGCACGTACTTGAGGAGCTCCCGAAGTTCCGTTTCTGACGTTGCAACCGCATCGACGTTCGTCTATCGGCCATTTTGTTTGAAGTATTCTACCAACGTATCTCCGAGGATCACTTTGATGAGGACCTCGACGAGCATGGCAGCACAGAAGAGCTCCGGGCATTCGAGCACCTTAAGTCCTCTGATATTGGCGTGGACGGTGTGCAATAGGTTTCGCAACGAAGCCACATCACTGGAGGACTTTATAGTCTTGAACGTTCATAGGTTTGACAGGTATTGTTGCCGGATGATTTTCTTTTTTCTGAAGTGGTCCTTAGTAGGGCGATGAAGTCTCCGTATGACTGATCCGAAGCTTGAATGACATCGATGGCCTGCTATGCCTGTGCAGTCACCAGGTTCTTCAAATAGTGGAACCGTTTGATGTTCTTTTTGCTGGTGTTCGTTGTTTTATAGGCTGGGGTTGGTTCCATCAAATATTCAACGATATTTAAAACTACTGGTTCCAAATTAAACAAAATACATTAAAAAGGTTCCAAGCACTACCTGCTACAAAATTGAAAAGTAATTAGTACAGCACAGTAAACCCGGAAGCGTCATTGGCATAGGAGCACAATTGTGTAGTGCGTCGTCCTGATTGGCTAAGGGTTCCCCTACCTTTCAGAAGACTGACAACAGCTTGTGTAACGGAATGTAATAAAATATTATAACTGAGGGAAGATGCTGCTACCGCATTCGATAAAAAAAATGTTCAGCGACACTGGTTGCCGGCTGTACAAACCACTGCGCGCCTCCATCCCTGACGGCTTGATTTATATGATGTGTTGAATCTGTCTGAAGAACGGTAAAATATCTGCAATTGTGATAAATCTGCAACATGTAGTCAAGCTTATCAGAACGCAAAGCTATACTCCACAACCTAACAGCAGCAAGCTATGGAGTGATTGAGCCGGAATTTGAAACGGGGGCACAAATGGCTGTATGGCTTATGAATGTCGAAATGCTCTGTGGAAATGCAGATGATCTAGAAGCTATTCGTTACTTCAGAACGGTTTAAGTTCAAATCGTGCCACGTTTTGCAGGCCTATGCTCTTGGCACATCCGGCTAAATACATCTGACGATTCAGATCATAGTCATGTAATGTTAGTGTCGAGCACTGCTGTTAGTTTTGTTTGAAAAAAATGGTGTTTTGAGAGCACCATGGATTTCGTTCAACGTATTCGTAAGCTCAAAAGACAACAGAGAAGGGGGCCTTCCTAGCGTTTGTTTTCTATCTTCCGAATTTCAACCACGGTGTTGGAGCATTTTGATTCTTCGTTTTGCCTGGAAGTATGTACGGTTTGCCTGCGAGTGTGCCACTCTATACTGGATTTCCGGCATTCAAGCTGAGCATTGCGTGCTGGAAGTGAGCCTTCAATAATTAGTCCTCAAAGTACTGAAGCTGCTTTGCCTCTGTAGTTAAGGTTGCGTTCAAATCACGCAGTCACTTAGGCCGCATTTAAACGCGATAGCGCTAGAGAGCTTGTGTCGCAGAAAACCCGCCGTCGTCGATGGCCCCGTTGCTTGTGAGCGAAAAATCATCCCTGAGCCAAAAATAAAATACAGTGATCGCCGTGGGAGGCTGCTACTTGACCACGCGTGCACGCGCGATCCCACTACTGAAAAAGCCGCGCATTCGAACAAATAAAAAGTGCTCAATGTCGGAGGCGCGGTAGTTTCTTTGCCCTGCCACTTCTCCCTCCTTACCTTTCAGCGTTTTCACCGGGACGAGAGAAGAGATGATGCAATTGCAGCATGCGACAAACCTTTGTAACTCAACTCGCACTGGACAGATTCCTAAATTTTTTGCAATGTTGAATTCGTGAAGCAATAAGATGTTTTAGTGAATTCATTCTATAATTACTTGAAAAAAAGTTTCAGGGCCCCTTTCACCCTTTTTGTTTGAGAGGTAACACGACAAAAACGAGCCCAGTCGGCGATTTGTAGGCGCATTAGAGAGGCCTGAAACTACGTCGAGAAAGGCCGGGATAGTGCATCCATTGCCGCTAAAAACACGGAACTTTCGAACAGCTCTAAATTTGGACAACAAGGTCCATCTAGCAGAAAACATATCATGCTTTTGTGGAGGCGTTCATCAACCAACAGCAAACGCTAGATAGTGTGCTGCTCTCTGTGAGGCATTCTGAAGCACTTTATAGCTTCCAAGATGGCGAGCGCATGGCATGTGTCTTTGAAGCCATGCGACTCTTGCTTTAAATCAGAAACCTGTATGTACCATTCGTGCACACGCACTGGTACAATCTACTGTGTGCGTGTGTGTGTATGTAACAAAACATATTAACAAGTATGCACTTAGCGGTTGAAGGGCGCATTAGGGGCCGTATTTCGCTATCGCGTTCAACTCTTACAGGCGAAGCTGAAGCGTCCCCCACTTTTTTTTTATCCAGAACTTTTATGTTCTTATCGCCTCAATGCATCCTCGAAAAGCTGGGATTTCGTACGAGCAATAATATTGCTGCAAAC